GCGTTGGGGTGGGGGTTCAGCGCGGCGGGCGCGTTGGGTTGGGGGGCGTCACCGCGGCGGGCGTGCCGTGCTGTTGGGGTGGGGAGGGTCAGCACGGAGGGAGCGTTGGTGTGGGGGTCTTAGCGCGGCGGGCGCTCCGTGCTGTTGGTGGGTGTGTGGGGCTGGTCAGCCTGAATGTTAACTTTGACATGGAATGTGTAGTACTCCACAGTGCAGTTTGTGCAGTTTGTTCAGTTGTACCAAAGCGCACTGTATTGTCATTGTAGTGTGCTCTTGCCCCTTTTGAGCTCATTTTTCTCTACATTGGCCCTGTTTTTTTTCTCCCCATTGTTAAGTCTCTTGCCTTTTCTCTCTACAACTCTGCTTACATCATCCTTATTTTTAACAGTTACCATTTTCTTGGCTTTAGACCTCTCTGGCTCACAGTGGATATACAGTCGTCTGCATCTCTGTACCGCACTCCCCACTCCCCACGTCCATTCCTCATTTCCTTCCTGAGTGAAGTCCCAGCTTTAGAACCCACCTCCCCCACCTGTTTGAATTCATTCTCACTTTGGTCAACTTCTGCTTCATTCCTCCAAACAATAGTTATTGCTGTCTGCACTCATCAAGATTACAGCTGTATCAAAAAAAAAGCCAAGCACTGCTGTTGCTGGGACCATTCTGCAGATATTTGGAACTTGTCTGACTTTTCATCAGAATTCTGTTTCATTCTTCATTGGTAATACGCACTTGTGTCTCTGTCTGTTATAGCCCCTGAGCCTTCCGGCCCTTTGATGTGATATTTGGAACATTGTTCGTTCTTGTCCAACCTGGCTCCCCTCACTCACTTCCAGTGTCTTCCTCAGAGAATTCCTTTCCACTGCTGGTGATGGGACCCGTGGATATGTAGGAAATGAAACACACTCTCTTACTATCTCTTTTTTTTTCCTTTCCTTGCATCTCGCCATCCATAGCACTTGGCATTTCTTGCAGAGTGCTTTTACTTATACTGAGTTGGTATGTTGTCGTCGCTGCTTGTGACTTGGTCCCTATACCAGGGAGACCAAATGCAGGTTGGGTGGCTGTTTTGCAGAAGACAGGGCGTGACAGGGCAAATGTAGATAGGATGTTTCACCCAGCTGTTTATCCTCAAAAGGGGCATCATCTTATGATAAGTAACAGCTATCTGGTTGACTCTTAACTGCCCTGGTAATAAATGCTTGTCTAGCCAATGACGCCTGACTGGGGTGTTTGTGCTACAAGGAGAGGCTGCTTAGGCTGAGGCTCTTTTCCCTGGAGTGTCGGAGACTGAGGGTTTGACCTTATAGAGGTTTATAATATCATGAGGGACGTGCATAGTGTGAATAGTCAGGGTCTTTTCTCCAGAGTAGAGGAGTCCAAAACTAGAGGGCATAGGTACAGCAGGTGGTAAAGAAGGCAAGTGGTATGTTGGCCTTCACAGTGAGAGGATTGGAGTACAGGAGCAGGGATGCCTTGCTGCAGTTGTACAGGGCCTTGGTGAGACCACACCTGGAATCTAAGGATATGGGATAGGACTGAGCTGAGGAGAAATGTCTTCACTCAGAGTGGTGAGCCTGTGGAATTCTCTGCCACAGAAAGCAGTCAAGGCCACATTATTCTATGATTTCAAGGAGTTGCAAGTAGCACTTTATTAAATGATATTGGGGGTAAAGTGGGAACAGGGTACAGAGTTGGGTGATCAGCCGTGATCATATTGAATGGTGGAGGCTTGAGGACTCGAATAGTCTCCTCCTGCCCCTATTTTCTATGTTTCTCCGTTTGTTCCATTTATTCCGTAAGGTGACCCCAAGCTTTTAGACACCACTGTTTCGCCCCCTCTCTGACCTCTTGGTACATATCCTCTGCTGCTGTTCCAGTAAATTCCAACACAAGTGAAACAAGTAACGTTTCATCTGTTCGTAAAGGTCCTTAAGTCCTTTTTAAATCCTTCCTCTCTCACATTAAACCTCTGCCCTTTAGTTTTGGAATCCCCTACCCTCGGAAAAAGGTCTTGGCTATTCCCTTATCCATGCCCCTCATAATCAAAACATAATTCCACCCCCCACCCTGGCAACCAGAAGCCTCCTTCATTCTTTCCCAGCTTTGGCACTTCCTTGTTAGCTGTTCATCAGAATACCAGCTTACAGTTAAGTTGACCACTCATTAACCTGAAGAATGTATCCTTCATCTGTCTCTCTTTGAATTATGGATCAGCTGCCAAGCTTTTCCAGTGAAGGCATGTCTTTTAATTCAACACGTGTGCCAATCTTGCTGAAGTAGTCCAGTATTGTGTCATTATGCGAGGAAGTTTGAAACAGACATTTCAACATATCGAGGAGCATCAGAGGAGCAGGGAAGCTGACGTTTCGGTTTGGGACCCTTTTCTGAAGAAGGGTCCCGACCCGAAACGTCAGCTTTCCTGCTCCTCTGATGCTGCCTGACCTGCTGTGTTCCTCCTGCTTCACACTGTGTTATCTCAGACTCCAGCAACGGCAGTTCTTACTATCTCTTCAACACATCAATGTGTGCAGATTTGGCTTTGAGCTGTAAATGTCTCACTCCTACACTTTCATATTATTCAGGCACCTTTTTCTGTACTGTTTCCAGAGCCTTTATGAATTTAATTTGAAAGATATCATCTATGAATTCAAAAGTGCGACCTGCCATAGAATTAGTACAAGGAACCAACCATCTGAGCAGCTGACGTATCACTTTGAAGATGAGAAGGAGGCTCAGAAATGGTCAACCATCATCACCAGCTCTTTGAGGGAAGTTGAGAAAGGTGGGTAACGTAGAGGATAGGGGAGGAGTGGAACAGAAACCCTGACAAAAGGTGAATTTATTTTTAAAGTTGCTCGTAAATTTGGCTTGCGGTCTCTGAACTTTGAGTCTTGGGCATGGATTCAATGATCAGTTGGTTCCTTCTATGTTGCCTGTTCCTTTAGGTTTGACTTTAAAGGTTTACAGTAATGTGCAAAGGAAGTATGGGGATGGGAGAAAAGTGCTTTTTCACACAGTCAATAGTTAAGGTCTGGAATACACTGCCTGCAAATGTGTTGGAGGCAGGTTCAGTTGAGACATTCCACAGGGCCTTGGCCGATTATTTGGATAGAAATATTTTGGTGTACAGGGCTATGGGGAAAAGGCTGGTGTTTAGTACAGGTAACAGCGGAGCTGATGGCTGAGTGGTATTATTGCTGGACTGTTAATCCAGACACCCAGGTAATGTTCTGGAGTCCAGGGTTCGATTCCGACCAAGGCAGATGGAGGAATTTGAATTCAACAAAAAAAAAAATCTGGAATCAAGCATCTAATGATGAATCCATTGTTAGTTGTTGGGGAAAAACCCATCTGGTTCACTGATGCCCTTTAGGGAAGAGAACCACCATCCTCTGGCCTGCATGTGACCCTCTGACAGTGCGGTGCTCCCTCGGCGTTGACCCACAATCTTTGACCAAGCGGAGAGTCTTAGATTTAGTTAGCGAGGAATGTTTTGGGGTGGAGGTGGCGTCATAATGGTAACATCCCTGGGCTAGTGATCCTGGACCTGGGGCTAATATTCTGAGAAATGGGTCTGAATCTAGCCATGGCAGATGATGAGATTTGAAGTCACAAACCTAATGCGGACAACTGTCATAAAGACCCATCTGATTCTCTAATGATCTTGGAGAAGGAAATCTGCCATCCTGACCCGATCTTTGCATGTAAGTCCAGACCCACAGTAATGTTGTTAAGCGCTAAGCGCTACTCAGCCAGCAATGCTCATACCTCATGATCAAATTTACAAGGGAAATTAGATGCCCATCATGTGTTTGCCTTGTTAGATCACAATGAATGTTGTCTTCCTGTAGCAAGTTCCTCTGCTGGTGCACAAAACCACAGTGAGTCAACAGGAATCCCAGTACTGTCAGCTCAACCAGTGACAGAGGGAGGTCCCAGGGCAGGAGCAGAGCTGCTTGGAGCTGGCCACGACGTTCCAAGATCAGGAATGGATATCTCCAGAACAGGTAAAACTCTGGCCAGACCCTATGCAGAGTGTCCATGTTTGGGCTGTACCTCAATAAGTGGCTAATGACCTTGGAAGGGGGTGTAGCACATGCTGGCTGGAACGATTGCAGAGATATAAGGGTTACATTGAGGGCAAATTGCAGAGTCTAGGCTTGTTTTGTATTGAGTATAGCAGACTAAGTGGTGATGTAATTGGAATTTAAGATGCCTAAAAGAGTTGTTTAAAGTCGACAGAGACAAATTATTTGGTCTGTCGCAGGAAGAGTCAGAACCAGGAAGCATTAAATATGAACCAGGTTGTACATGGATGATGTCAGGAAGCATTGTTGACGGAACTTTACTTTCAGTTTAAAAGAGTAGATGGAGCTTTACTCTGTATGTAACTCATGCTGGTAAGTTTATTCATTTTTTCCTCATGTGCAATATATGTTTGTTTATTTCAATTGCTAGAGGATCTGATTCAGCAACTTGCCAAGGCAATAGAGGCAGGTGATTCTGTCTTGTCGTCTGAGTGTGCTGTGAGTCTAGCTCAGCAGAAAGTGTCTCTCGGCATTTGGGTGAAGGATGTTTATCCCAATCAACAGATCAGGTAACTACGTGTTCACATTCTACCACGTGATCCAGAGTAAAGCACATGTCACTGTAAAAGAAGGAGCTTTTACTCATTAAGAAGCCAGAATGTTTAAGTTAAACAGCAATGCTGAAAGTCATGAGCAGCGTCTGATAGAGTAAATAAATGTTCCCAGAGTAAATAACTCTTCCCAGTGACAGGAAAGCCTCTGTAACCAGAGGATGTAGATTTGCGGCAGGGTACAATAAAATATTCTCAACTTCCTTTGTTTCTTTTGCTATGATCTAGGACAAGCTGCCTGAAAGGATAGCAGAAGCAGTTTCAGTCGTAACTTTCAAAAGGGAATTGAACAAGTAGTTAGGGAGGAGATATTTGCACGCTTATGGAGAAGAGCATGGAAGTGAGACTAAGTGCGGGGTGGTTTTGAGGAGTGTGATATTTGGTGTGCCATTATTTAAATGAACAAGCTGCAAAGGTGCCTTCCTTAGAGCTTCAGGGAACGTAACTCCAGTCATCTGTCGATTCCACCATGTTACCAAGTCCACTGGATATTGGTTGAGGATTTAACCATCAGTAAGGTATAATCAGCACCCACCTTCCTAACAATGGGGACAAGTCAGTGAGTGAGAAAATGAAAAGCAGAACGTTTTGTACATTTGACTTGATGGGCTGAATGGCTTCCTCCTGTGCTGCCTCATTCTGTAGAAACTCATCAAGTGGACAGCTGAAAGGTTTGCGTGGCTTTTCCATTGCTTCCAGGCTAAGGCCTTGTTATTTCTCCTCTTTCCCTTCAGTATGAAAGTTGAAGTGGAGGACGCCACATCTTCTGCCACCATTTTTGTGAAGGTCTTCCCCTATGCAACTGTTTCCACGTTAAAGCAACAGGTAACTAACCCCCTTTTAATGGAGTACAAGGAGGGGTGGGGAGCTTGGTGAGAGGAAATGTAAGTAAGTTTATGGGCGACGCAAAGATTGAGCGGGTGGTTGATAGTTGAGGTGGAAAGGTGTTACGTTACAGGAGGGTATAAATGGATTGGTGAGGTAGCAGATGGAATTTAATCCTGAAAAATATGAGGTGATGCACTTTGAGTACTCCCTTGTCTTGTTACTTCCAATGAATGGCCAGTTGCTGGGAAGCTCAGAGGAACAGAGGAATCTTGGTGTTTGTCCACAAATTTCTGAAGGTAGCTGGACAGATTAACAGGATAATTAAGAAGGCATACAGGACACTTGCCTTTATAATCCAGGCATAGATTATAAGAACGGGGCGGTTATGGTGGAGCTGTACAGGACTTTGATTGGGCCACATCTGGAGTACTGTGTGCAGTTCTGGTCCCCACATGATAGGAAGGATGTGATTGCACTGGAAAAGATGCAGGAGAGATTCACCAGGATGGTGCCTGAAATGGAGCACTTCAGTGATGGAGAGGCTGGATCAGTTTGGGTTGTTTTCTTTAGAGCAGAGAATGTTGGGGGAGGGAGGGGGAATCTAATTGAAGTAGATAAAATTGAGGGGTGTGGATAGAGTGCATTGAAAGCAGACTCTCCCATTATCTGAAGGCTCATTAATGAGGGAGCATAATTTTAAGCTGAAAGTTTGAGAGGGGATTTGAGTAAAGCACTTTTCACCCAGCCAATGGTGGGAGCCTGGAATGCACTGCCTGGGAGGGTAATTGAGGTGCGAAATCTCACAACATTTAAAAAGTACTTGGATGAGCACTTGAAGTGTCGTAACAGTGAAGGCTATGGGCCTCGTGCTGGAAAATGGAAACTGGGAAGTGACAGGAAGTGTTAGTAGTAGTATACTTTTGGTACAGACTGGATGGACTGAAGGGCCTGTTCTGTGCTGTAAGATCAACCTTAAAATTGATCTTTTTTGATCCTCTGCTCAATCTTTCTGAAATTCTCCTGTGGTTTGCTGTCACATGTTTTTGAGAATGCATCTACGAATATTAAATGCGCTGTATAAAAGCAAGTTATTTCGTATCAATCCCCAAGCAAACCCCGCTGTCTCCCCATAGTCCTGCATCGATCCCCAAACTAACCCCACTGACCCACGCTCTCCCCATAGACCGAAATCGATCCCAGAACTAATCCCACTGCCCCGCTCTCCCCCCATAGCCCTGTATCAATCCTCAAACTAATCCCACTGCCCTACTGTCTCTCCATGGCCCTGAATCAATCCCCAAGCAAACCTCATTGACTTGTTCTCTCCCATAGCCCTGCATCATTCTTCTTACAAAAGTCTCATTTTGAACTTCAATCTTCTGTCCTCACAGTTTCTTGGGACATTTGGTAACCGACCTGGGGTCTGAGTTGGGATATTTTACTGCATTAAAGATGCTAAATAAATGCAGTTATTGTTCCACGTTAGGTATTCCGAGATTTTGGGTTCCACCCTATGGTTCAGCGCTGGATTATTGGCCAGTGCCTGGCGACTGATCACAGAACTCTGAGTTCGTACGGTGTGAGGAAAGACGGGGTCACAACCTTCCTGTACCTGCTGTCAGCAAAGCTGGCCAACCTACCACGGCGCCAGTACGAGGAGGAGCAGGCTCTCACTGTCATGGCCCATGATGAGATGTCCATTGATATGCAGAGGAGGGAGAGCCTTCTGGAGGAAGAGAGGAGAAAGTACAGTACGTTACCGAGCAAGCTGCCTGTGAATAAAGGTGTGGTAAACATGCTGAATGTGTCATTCAGCAATAGCGCAGGCCAAAAGAAATCACGTGGAGGAAACGGGTCATTCAGTTCACTGAGCATTGTTCATGATTCAGTTACTTCATGCCTCAACCTTTAATTGCCATTGATCCATA